ATCTTAAGCATATCAGTGCATCTCTTTGACCCCTACCAATTTACTTATGATGATGCTCACTACTACTATTTATCATAAAGCCTTTTGAAAATCCTACAGCTTTTGCTGGACAAATGTTTATGGATTGTAGCTCAGCATTTAATGCCATACTCCCTCAGATCCAAGCTGAAACAGATGGAGATGGACCCCTAATCAATCATGAATTTTTCATAACAGCAAGTGAAGGTTAACTCAGCTCTCTATGACGTACACGTTATAAGTACTGGAGCTCCTCAAGGCTGCGTAGGCTCTCCTCTTCTTTTTATATTATATCAACGTTTTTAAATGATTCTATAAACCAGTACACAAACAACTACATTATCTATTTTTTTTCATGATACTGCCATACTCAGTTTAATGAGAAAAGATTTAGACACGGCTGTGTATAAGTCATTCCAGAGCACAGTTGGCGGTAACGCAGGCTGCTGCCGGTGTCATGCTAAGGTCATGGGGGGATTTAACAGGGCTAACCCTCACTGCCCTGGCCACGGGAGTGCGTTTGAATTCTGTGAAGATGGACCTTTATTTCTATGCTTAGCTTTCACCTAAGTAAATGAAAATGGCAACATGTGGATAACAGCACGAATATGTCAATACGTGAGAGTTGACAGCTTGCACAACATATGTTTTGTACCAAGTTACATGCAGCGGTGCATGTAGAGCTGACAATTTCATGCACATGCTAACATTTTACATGGACTACTGTGCATTTGCACGTAGTATTTTGAGCCCTGACTAACCAGTTAGTCCTCAGTCTTAAAAGCTTTTCTCCAGTTACGGTAAAATTGTTGTTTGAAAACACCTCCAATAAAACATAAATCTTTTGTTGCGGCATCTTCTTTTCGTCTTATTACAGTGTGCTAAGCCGCAATGGGTTCATTACTGCATTCAGAGGACTGAAAAAAAATTGGTGGCCGGTGAGAAATGCAGCTGTAGTTGTTTTTTCCCATCTTAACATCCACAAGGATAAACCCATTAAAGGTGACATTGATCAGAAATGTTTTTAAAATACCTCAAGGATGGAGACTAACTGGTTAATTTGTCAAATGTACACATGTGTTATGTTTTGTTACCAGAAAAAAACTGAATAATCCCAAAAAACGAAAGAGAACAATGCAAGAGAGCATGATGAAAAAGGTGAAGGATGAAGCTACAGCTAAACAGCCGTGGGGAAGCTAGACAAAGAAGCGCCCGATTTGTCAGTTTCTCTGTGGTTACAACCTTTAGGTATGAGATCTGAGTAGTGACTGAAAGGAAGAGATCATGCATTTAAGAGGCTTAATGAGTTTTCTTCTCACAGAGACTTGTCTCCCCCTAAGGAACGAGATGAGCACAGATATCAGGGGGAACTCTCACCACTCACTGCATGTTAAACAAAACCAGTTGAGACAGTTTGGGAACTTGTTGAAGTATTCCAGGCATGCTCAGTGGAGAAAAGACCCCAGGGCAGTTTGCACACACTGGAAGGATTACATATTCCATCTACTTAAGAACATCGTAGGATCCCCCGAGAGCAGCTGAAGGATGTGACCGGAGCGAAGGACATTAGATTTGCCTTGCTGCCAAAGCAACGTGGATGGCAGAAAAAGGACAGACGTAGCAGTGAGACACAAGTTTATAAGCATCGTGCTTTATTGTCATGTTCATACAGTCTGCACCATTGATAACCATTATCTATATTTACTTGTTTACTAGCATAAGAAATGTCTATTTCCATTGTCCCATTATTATCTACTTTTTTAAACAAATAAAGAGTGAACTTGGACACGCTTTGAGACAAGACTGCCCTACAAAGCCAAAATGCAGTAACTTCTTATTTGGTTAGAAATTAGTTAAAACCAGAATTCGACTTTATCTGTTTTTCCTTATAAAATATATCATGTGATAGAAATGTGCAGATTTTAAGAGAAAAAAATATATTTTCTTACATTCACGGTTGCTTTCGTTTCTGCTGTTTGCCTTTTTAAGGCAGAATAGATACATCTGTGAAGATAAAGGTATGTTTTTTTATAATACAACTGCAGAGAAAGACATGGCGAGTACCTCTAAAATAGTTATAGCGATAGAATATTTATGTTATGTGTCTGCACTTTTCCTCTTTCCCCTTCCCAAACCTCAAAGCTGCCCCTGGCCTGAACCTTTGATGGCTGGATAATACTCAGAGTAGTTAACCTTGTGCACTACAGAAAAAGAGCATACCGAGGAGAATAAAATGTTGGAGTGTTTTATTGTTCCCCTGGTATAGAAAGGTAACTCTCACTGCCTTAAAAGTGTTATCCCTGAGGGAAAATGAAATAATAATATTATTATATATTCATTTTATGAACAATATTCTTGAAAATGTTAGTTTCAGGAGAATGTAAATGTCAAGAAGGACTGCATAATGTTGCACTTCTCTTTTATCACCTTACTTTGGCCTTTCACAGCAAATGCTTCTCCACGGATTATTTATTTTGTGTGCGAGGATGAGATGCCTCAAAACAAGAAAAACAATGATAACCTCAGTCATCAGTTCCAGCAGTGCTCTAATTAATTGCTTAATAAACAAGCCTGAGGAATAGCTTCTGAATAAATAAATGCCCAGGAGTTTTGAGGCAATGACTCAAACTGTGTGTCGACTATGAATCCCAAAGCGCATTTCCAAAGTGATCATTTCAAATGGAAATCAAACCTAAAGATGCTGTTTATAAGATTTGATTTAAAAACAGCCCACTTCATTCCCCTGGTTATTGGTAACCTCAAAGGCCTGTCACTCAGTTCCTACTCTGGAAACGGCACAAAGTTTCAGTGGGTGAAGATGACGGTTACGTAACAGCTGGTTGTGGTCACCGCGAGGTGAATGTAGGCCGTCTCTGCTTCCCACACTTCTTATCCACCCGATTATTCGGCCATCGCGATGACTCAACGCTTGTTGTATGGCGACTTGGCACACTGTCACACCCACACTGCTGTCACATGAAAGCTTTGTCTTCATCAAAATGTAAACTTCTAAGAGATTTTAGAAAAATTAAAAATCCACCTTATTTCTGTCAGATTGCCTTCAACAGCGATTAGCATTTCGAAGCCAGACCTCGAGACTTTGAAGGCCAACATGATGCAATCTGTGAAACACAAGCGTTCAGTACTCTGCTCCCTTCGCATGTACAATCAAGAAGCCTGATTGAATTCACCTCAATAATATGTTTAAAAGAGCAGGTTTGCACAATTAATGGCTTGTTTATTTGTTTTTTAAATGCAAAATCATGATGGCAGAATTATCCCTTAGGCTCTGGGCTTTAGGAGACAAAATTACACTCTAAACCTTTCACACTGATCAATCAGATTAATCAGAAAAAGGATCAGCAGGAGATTAAACCCAGTAATGGCACTTTGTCTTTGCCATTGAAGATCCGGAGGTAAATGATGCAATAAGCTATGCAAAGGCATTAACCACCAAAGATCGCAAATGCAACCTAAATAAATCTACTTTCCAAATCCGTGTGCAAGTAGTGAGTGGGTAGCATACCTTAGCAAGTAGCCGAATATTTAGTGGCATATTAAATACATTTATTTGGTAGAAATTTGGCGAAACCCGTCAGATACCTTAACGCAGTGGTGGGCCATGTGTTTTATACCTGGGCCTTCAGTGTTGTCCTACTACAGTTGAACCACCTCCTAATAACCTCATTATGACGCCACAGCTACAGGTTATTATTTGTTTTGTGTAAAAATGAAGCTCAACATCTACAAATACATTACAGTAGTAACGCTCCTATCACTCACTCCAGGAAATACACGACACCTTAGTTCTTGTTACTGATGGATTTATTCGTCTGTCAACACCGAGAGGGAAAATCAGTCCACTTGAAAACACATGAATCTTCAAAGATGATCACTTTAACTTAACTTTAACACTTTTGTGAAGGATTTCAGTATTAAAAACATTATAAGCATGATTAAATAGCACCCCAAGTGGTGAGTAGAAGTGTCACAATAATAAGAAAGTCAAAATATGGTAAAATGTCACAATATATTTACTTATGGAATGTATAATATGTTTACAGTATGTTTACCATAGAAGTGCTAAGCCATAAAAGACAATCATTGAATGTATTAAACTGTGAAAAATAGCCAAGGGACAGACAGGGATTATATAGACTTCTGCCGCTTCCCGTCTTCTTGTTGCTGTGCACCAGTGGTGGGTCGTCAGTGCCAGCAAAGCCTTCTCTGCTGGCCTAGAGAATCACAAAGTTATAGCTATTTTAAAATGTAATTATTTTTCATAAATACAGTACATGTATTCTAAATATTATTTCCCATTAGCTAAATATCTCATTGCATAGCTACCGTCTTCCTCAGTTGGCCTGCTTAAAGCACAGCTTGTTTTAAGTAGAGCTTTTATCCAATCAGATTTCGCCCCTATGCTGTTGCTAGGTTAAAAAAAATCTTCCTGGAGGCCTTCAGAATTACAAGTGAATCCCTTTGCAGTTTAAGTAAATGGGGACGATATTGTTGATTGTCATAGTCTTCAACCAATCAGATTTTTAGTTTGACATGTTGGGCGTATTCTTTGACATGTCAGAGCCTGCTAGCTGGCCTAGCCATACGTGATTGTTCAGTGGGCTAGCGTGACATGTTGGGCGGTGACAATCCCAATATCTACTGCCTCTGTCAAGCGGACATTTTCAGCCCTCAAACACATTAAATCATATTCAGGAAATACAACTGGGGAGGCTCGACTGTCATCACTGGCGTCCATGAATCGAGAATTACTTCTTACTGGAACTAAAACGCACTGATGTACTGAATAACCGTGAGGTTAAACTCTTTGTTAACAAAGAAAGGAGGATGGACTTTGTCTTTAAGTTAACAACAGCTTTGGTAAATTAACTGCTTTTGTTTTTACATCTGCAGTAGCTTTAATATGCTTGTTTATATATTATTATTTGTACAATTTGTTTTTATGAATATGGATTTTTGTTTGGTTTTATATGCGATAGGAACTATTGTTACGTCCTATGTTGTATTACTCAATTGCTGTATCAATTATTTTATAGAAAAATAGAGATATATGTTTTGGGTGTAGTATGTCTCTGTCATTTTTGACGGATACCTCAACAATATGAAGCATGTTGTTAGTACAACCACAGCAGCTCTTAGTTATGTTGATGTCACGAAGGAATGAGATGCTCCAGTGTGATAACGGTCACGTTCTTCTGGTCTTCAGATCTGTCAGCCTCTCTCTCATTAGACATTAAAGGAGCCTCTTTGTTCAACCAGCTTCTGCAGGTTTTGACTGACGTCCCTGAAGTACAGCTGGATCTCAGCCTTCTGTCTGTCGTACCTTTGATCATAATAAACCTCGAAATATTTCTCGACGGGGATATTGTCCTCAAGATCGTGCCGCACTGAATCTTCATCCACCAGAAATCTCCACCTGATTTCCATGTAGGCTTGAATATCCTTGAATTTGCACTTTGCCCGGACCATCTTTTTGTGCTCGGTGAGCAGCGTCTCCAGGTCGCTCTGGTAAGTCGAGAGGAGTGTCTCTACGGGTTTGCAGGTCCGAATCCCTCCGAGTCTCACTAGGTGAATCAGCATCTGGATGTGGAAGGCCGCCCCGTTCACCCAGGCCTTCAGAGCCGAGGACGACATATGCCCGTCCCTCACCATGGAGTTCTTCAGCTTGGTGAGGGCGGCACTCAGCAGGTACTCGATCCGCTCGATGTCACCTGTCAGCTTGTTGTTGTCGCAAAGGTGCATCACGCATCTCTTCAGGCACTCATCGATCTGATCCCAGACCTCCGAGGCCTTCTCATCGGCAAACACGCTTCGCAGAGCGTTCTTCGTGCTCTCCTCGGGAGGACTGAAGAAAACTGTGTCGATGTAGACAGCGACGGCGAACGCGCCAAGTCCGGCCAGTACCGGAGCTGAACTTAAGCCAGCCATCTTCTCCGCCAGACTCTTGATCCAGTCCGGGGCACAGTCGCCTGCCTCCATCTTCCTCTTCTCGTAGTGTTGTCTCAGACCGTCTGAAGCAGAAAGACTGGTGAATATCACAACGCTCTTGTCTACGGTCATGTCTAGACCCTTGGGGATTTTCTTCCTGAAATCGTCCAGTTTTTTCTCCTTCTCCATCTTCGCTCTACTCTCGTTACGCCTACTCACGTCATCCAGATAGTTACCCATCGTCTTGTTCTCAGGATCAGATCAAAGATGGAGGCTGTAGATTTTGTGTACAAACACTGCAACAAACAAAAACAACATACAGTGAACATTTTCCTCCAAATTTAATCATAAAAACAAATTAAAGCTGCAAGCAGCATTGATCGGACCCCCGCGTCGTGCATTTCTGACCATCATACACTGCGTGCACTAGTTAGACGTATTTCCTGTGTTGAACTCGCTCGCTTGAATTCGCTCGCATGACTTCTCTTCCCATTGTTATGCCGATGACACCCAGCTGGTCTTGTCATTTCCCCCTGGGGACACTCAAGTGGAGGCACGCATCGCTGTGTGCTTGGCTGACATCTCGAAGTGGATGACAACACACCACCTCAAGCTCAACCTGGACAAAACCGAGCTACTGTTCCTCCCGGGGAAGGGTTGCCCGCACCGAGACCCGTCAATCACCATTGATGATACCGTGGTGACGCCAACTCGAACTGCGAGAAACCTGGGTGTGACCCTGGACGACCAACTGTCGTTCTCAGCAAACATTGCATCGGTTACACGCTCCTGCAGATTCCTGCTCTACAACATCAGGAGGATTCGCCCCTTCCTCACTGATGAGACGGCGCAGGTGCTCATCCAGGCTCTTGTCATCCCCCGCCTGGACTACTGCAACTCTCTACTTGCCGGAGCCCCGGCGTCGGCCATTAGACCTCTGGAGCTTGTCCAGAAAGCTGCAGCTCGCCTGGTGTTCAATCGCCCTAAGTTGTCCCACACAAGTTCCCTTCTCCGTTCTCTACACTGGCTCCCTGTAAGAGCTCGCATCCAGTTTAAGACTCTGGTGCTAGCCTACAGGGCAGTGAAAGGAACAGCTCCTTCCTATCTCCAGGCCATGGTCAAGCCCTACACCCCCGCCCGACCACTTCGCTCTGCTGCCTCGGGGCGACTGGTTGCCCCGTCGCTCAGAGGTCCCTGCGGCCGATCGACCCGGTCTTGGGTGTTTTCTGTCCTGGCCCCTCAGTGGTGGAGTGAACTCCCCACTGACGTCAGGACGGCAGAGTCGCTGCCCATCTTTCGGTGCAGGCTGAAAACTCACCTCTTCAAGAAGGCCTACCCTTAGCCTTCCGCTTAGCACTTACTTAGCATCCATTGTATTCATACTAGCTTATTGCACTTATCGTTTTCATATTAGTTTGTGGCACTTATTGCATTTGTTTGTTTCTGCACTGTACGTTGGCACTTGTTTATGCTCTTAGATGCTTGTTTGAGGAAAGGACATGCACTTATTACTTCTGGTGACTAGTTGTTCTCTCGAAAACCGATGTTGAATACACTTATTGTAAGTCGCTTTGGATAAAAGCGTCTGCTAAATGACTGTAATGTAATGTAATGTTGAACAGCGGCTTAGCAAGATCATTTTGCCAGGTCTTAAGCACTGAATGTATTGAGGGTAAGCCTGTAACGATGAACAAAAAACAGAATATGTGACTATGCCCAATAGTATTTGAACATGACAGACTATAAACGTAAAAGCAGTTCTCAAAACCGACTGCTGAGTGACTCAAAGCGGGAAGAGTCGAAGAGAAATGGCAGAATGTATAGTTCCATGTGAATTTTTTTTTTTTTTTGGTCGAGAAGTTTAAGCTAAAAGGTGAGCCGATGTAGTATAATCTATAATATGAATTGGACTTGGTTGCATTCAATTATTTTGGATTACAGCTTGGCTTCAAAACGAACAAAAACTATTTACTGAACTATTAATGAAAACTCCATGTACAAGCGCAATTTGAAAACTATTGTTATCCAGTTTTTGCACTTCAAACATCTCGCTTTCCACATATTTAGATCAGAGAAGTCTTTTTCTGGTGGTGTGCCCACGAACTCTTTTAATAAGTTCAGTGTTTGAACCGCTGTATTTACAGAATCCTGCTTACTGCCATGGTTGCCAGTAGGTGGCGCTATGACTATGAGTTAATATTGGCATGCAGAAGTCCTCAAGCCATGACTCTTTTCAAGCATGTAAAGTTTGGGACAGTTTTGACAAAGTACAGTCGAGTTACAACAGCTTGATGGATGATGGCGAACCCTGTAAAATGGCCGCCACACCACGCCCTCACCGTTCCATGAAACCTCAAGCTTTTGATAACTTTTCATCACAAAGGTCTTTAGATTGTACTGCCCAAATTTGAAGTTGATCTGATCAATTCCCTAGGAGGAGTTTGTTACAGAATTACAGCGCCTGGAAATGGAAAAAAACTACACGTGAAATTCACCCAAAATTAAAAATAGCCGACTTCCGGTTGGGTTTAGAGCATGGCCCCAAGAGACTTTTATTAAGTCGACGTGTGATACATGTGCCCACCAAATTTTGTACGTCTAGGTCAAACGTACTGCAAGGGCTTCTTCGTGAAACTTTTGTAGGGGGCACTATTGAGCCGAATTGCCACTCTGAAGCATTCAAATCATATCAGATAACTACATTTTGGGCTTTAAAGCTGTGTGGCAAGTTTGGCTATGTTTCAAGCATTTTTAGCCCCTCAAAAGCACCTTCGTTTTTCAGCCAAAGTATAGAGACTTTAACTTCCTGTTACCAGTAAGTGGCGCTATGACTATTATTCATAATTGGCCTGCAGATGTCTTCAAGACTGGAGTCTCATCAAACATGTGAAATTTGGAAAAGATCTGACCATGTGGAGTCAAGTTACATCACTTTATTCATTCACAGCGAAGGATCGAAATTGGCCGAAGTACCATGTCTCCACCCTTTAACAAATTCTTAGAATCTTCACAATGAAGCATTCTCTGTATTTGGGACAGACAAATATCCCAGAATGCATTTTGCACCAGCAAACAATGGCGGAGGAGAAATCAGGAGAAAGTTTCAACAGGAAGTTGAAACTTTCGAAATGCTACTGTTAAGTCACAGAAAGTCATTTTAGGATGTTTTTAGGCGAGAAGTTAGTTGTTTAAGCATCAAATCTGTGGTCAGTTTGTCAAAATTCAGCTGATTTAAAAATCTGCTCCGACGATTTCGGAGATGTGAGGTGTTGCTAGCAGCACCGGCAGTAAACAAGCACCGGGGGCTCAGCGCTCATGTTACCCGCCTAGAACAGCCTTATATCGGCAGTAAACCCCGCCAGCACCAGGGGCTCAGTGCTCACGGTGCCTGCCTAGAACAGCCTGATCCCGGCGAGTCTTTTTGAAACTTGACGCTGGTATTGACGTCTCTGTAGCGTTTTCCTCGTCGGCAAAGCATACAGCATACTTACAATACACTTATATAATATATCATTTTTTATTTTAAATAAAAACGAAAACTCTCGCTAAATCAACTGAGACTAAGCAGAAAATGTGCAGTGATGTCCACAGCTCTTTTATTCTCTAACCTAAACATTCACCAACAAAAAAACATTGTATTGCATTGTGGCACCTTATTAACATTCAAAGTACACATCTTAATTGTTGAAAAATGTAAACGTGTACCTCTCAGGCCAAACGTGGTCTCAGGTGCAGATCTGGTTTCTCTTTCAGACGATAAAATGAGCCGCTGCACCGTTAAAGAGACAGGCACATTAATGGATTATGGATTAATGAAATGGATTAATAGTATATAATAAGGCTTAATGACAGTTTTGTGTTTATCGAGTTTTAAAATGGGTACTACAAACACAAGCATTTTTAATCAGTCCAGTCACCGAAGTTTCAGTTTAACATTTTCCCCTCAAAATATACTGACTGATTTCTAAATGCAAAATTGTTGATAGAACAGCGATGAGAACGACCGCTAACAAACCTTTTCCCATTAAATGTCCTGGATTTGGACCAATAACAACGGTTTATCTACATGAGTGGGGATGTACGGGGTGCAACAAGAGGATAACGTGCCGTTATTGGTCAATATCGTCTTGGACGTGGCTCCGGAGGAGAGAGCAGGGAGGGATTATATTCTGGAGGAATAAAATTTGCTACCGCAAATTACATTCTTGGGCCGTTTACTGGCGAAAGGAGAGCGCCGAGATTTTTATTTATTTATTTAAACATCATCAGCATAGCAGCTGTTGCAACAACAGTTCTGCGTTTCTGATACAACATTGTTTTCAAGCACACAATATCTGCATGTCGTCACCACAATACAAAGGGCGGCACTAAAGACTTTGGATTGCTTTTTTTAATCTCTTGAAACTCTTTAATCAGTCTCAAGTTGAGCGGAATGTTTAGAGACTGACTTGTGAGTCTACAGAGGACATAAGTGTCCTCACTACTACTTGTTGTATTTCTCTCTGTACTAATTGCAGTCATTGCCTCTTCGTCCTTCCACGACTCCATGGCCACTGGTGTCAGTGCCCCTTCGGCTACTAATAGCTTCTGTTTATAAGGTTTTATCCTTATCAATCAAAAGGCCATGTGTCTGCCTTTGTGTTTACTTGTGGTGTCTATCCTGATTGAACTTTATCATGTTCCTCTTTGTTATTTATGATGGATGCTGTCAAATTGTAGTTAAAACTAATGCTCTTATACTGATAATTCTCCAGAGAACATAACTAAATCCTCCCAGCACAGATAAAGTGCATTATGAGTCGTCAGTCAAACTTGTTTTCCCCTGCGGGTTTGTGCAGCACAGAATAGCAGGTCACCAAAACTTTCCAATGAATTAGTTATCTCTCTGTTCATGTCACCTCATATTTACAGCTCTTGGTGTGTTTGGTGGTCTACAACCATAAACAGGCTGAGGTTATCATCTGGTAATGTGCATCAAAACACAAAAATATCAATACAGATATATATTTTCCTTTGGTATACGGATGCCACTGAAAATGTATTTTACAACCAAATAGACTGTTTTCTACGGCCTGGCAAAGGCATCGTCTATAAAAGGTTGTTTATGCTGACATAAGAAAAAACAAAATCCTCGATTGATTTGTCTCGCAAAGAGACAAAAATGGGAATTACAAAAAAAGAAAACAAACCATGGAAAATTGATAAATCTGCTGTCATAATTACCACAAGGATCAAACAAATAAAGGTTCCAAAAATGGTTAAAAATTGAGCTCACACAAACATAATAAGAACACTGCTGTAGAGCCTGTTTGAGCCTCCATGTGCTCGATTTTGCTACTATTGCTTGTATTTGCAGGCATTGGAAAATGCCCTCAGGGTGTTGGAAGGCTTGGTTAAACATTTTCAATTGTATCGGCTATTTGCATGTCGAACCAGGATTTTTCTTTGCTCTGCCTTCCTTTTGCCCTAAATATTGATGAAAATCAGGATATAGTGATAATAAGGAGCAAATAACTCCAAAATGAACCATTTAGCTTTCTGCACTCTCCTGTGGTATAATGAAAAAGGACTCCAACTCCACCAGCGCAACCTATATTCAACCCAGACTCGCTGAAATGAATAGACTGAATGCAACAGAGAGATCGCACCAATTTTCACTGGGATTGACTCCTTGTTCCTCTTACAAATTTTGCCATTGCAACAATTTGATATTGGATACTGCTAAACTATAGGGCAGGCATCACATAATGGCGGACCGCGATCAAGACCCGAACCGAGTAACGGTTCTATCTGCACCTATGACCAATTTCTGAGGATAAATAAATATTGTTTATTTGGCTTCTATGGCATCAGATAGGATGACGATTTCTTTGACCCCAGTACAGTTCAATGACTTTTGTCTTCATTCAGAACCATTAACAGCACGGGAACACAAAATTAGTCAACTACCGAGTCTCACCAAAATATGAATGATATATTTTACAGAACATTTTCACCCAACAGAAATATAACAGGCTCACAGTATATGCCAGCAAGTCTGCACCGAACTCTGGATGATCCTCTGAGCTGATTATGTTTGTGTTGTGTCTTCTCTTCCTGTGTGTTCAGTATACTGTACGAGGCTCACTGAATCATGTATGAGGTTCATACTTAGCCAGTTTCCCACAGCAGGTCTGATTGGCAACCCCAATTTTGAATTGCTCGCACAATTACGCAGCTCCAGTATGACATTGACACTGCTCGTGTAAAAAAACCTGAAGGTTCAAGCTGGATGCCTGTGGATTGAGCTGTCACATGACAAACATGTAACCAAGTGTCGGACTCATTAAGGCCTTCATTCATTCATTTTCCATACACACTGATTATATAAATGTATTCACTGGAAAATGAAGTCTTGCACTCACTGGCAAATGGAAAAACACATCCTCCCGCTCTATTCCAATGTCAGTTTGCTGTCCGTTTCCAGTACTGTCTCCTCTTTCATGGTGGGGAAGCGCAATTCTCTTCCTTTCATACACAGAGAACATGATTTGCATTTTAAGACATGCTCATTTCATGATATTTCATGAGCCTTCAGGCTGTCAGGAGCAGCAAAGAGGAAGCCTCCTAGCAATGCAAGCTAATTGGCCAGAGGGGCAAATATTTTTTTAAATTGCTATCAAGCTCAAACATTTTCTCTTTTTTGTTTTAAGTCTGTGGTTGGCCTGCTAGTAGAGAGTAACGTTGTTGCTCTATACAGCGCCCTTCCATTCTCCAAACGCATCGAAGTAAATGGTAAATAGACTGTACTTGTATAGCGCATTTCTAGTCTTTCCGACCACTCAAAGCGCTTTCACACTACTTGTCATCATTCAGCCATTCACACACTGATGGCAGGGGCTAAGTGCCTATCAGACTAACTCGTTCACACACCATAGGCATAGCTACGGGAGCAATTTTGGGGTTAAGTGTCTTGCTCAAGGACACATGCGACCAGCGGATTCTCTGATAGAAGGACGACCCTGCTCTCCACTTAGCATTGCCCTCTAATGTACATATCCAGTGCAGAAAAACGTGATGCTTTGCACTAATGGGTGCTCTTAAAATGGCGAAAACTGCATTCAGTACCACCTAGCTAAGCTGCCCTATGTGCTATAAAAGGTCCGGAACTTTTTCACCACAAAACAATGTTATCTTGCCCAATGGAGAAAAGTCTATTTGTTTTTTTGCCCCTCTAAAAACTATTTTATTTATTGGTGGTTATCAAATATTCACTTGCGCTTCAGCTCATGAACCCGCCGCCATGATCGCAATCAGAGATGAGTAGGAAGTGGGATGGCTCATTATCAGTACCGGGGGGGGGGGAAATGGTTAATTCTTTTTTACCACTTGCACAATGCAAGATTTACTAGCCCGACATGGCATTTACTTGCCCCAGGCAAGCAGCAATCCTTATTGTTGAGCCTCGAACAATAACACAACTGTTATGCTACTATTCCTTTGTCCCTTCAATTTCATGGTTACATTTTGAAAGAAGAGAGGGTACATATACATGGGATGTATAAATATGTGTCAAATTCAACCTCGTGGAAACATCTCCCTTTGGCAGCGGTGAACTGATTACTTTTTCTTTTTTTCAGTCCCCCCTCTGTCACTGATTCCATTGTTTGAATTGTAAGATAGGAAATGTGGAAATAGGATTCTGTAAGGAAAGCTGCTGCGCAGCAGGACAAAATGCTAAAGTAAAGTGATTGACAGTGGGTGTCCATGTATCCCAGGTGGCTCCAATGTGCAGTCCAAGCCATCTTGTATATCATTTGTCAAACCTGTGTATAATGAAATCGGTGAAAAAAAATGATGGTATAGTCACAGTTCGTGCATCTCTTGGTTTCTCAGTTACAGGCACATTGGAGTTTAGCAACTCTTAACTTTTTGTAAACTGCTTTAGTAGTGACTGCTGATATACATGCCTGTGTGATTACTACAGGGAGTTCTCGGTCTTGCCGCTTACACATTGCAGTAGTGCAAAGACAGTTTTTTTCCCCACTATATGTACAGCAGTGAAATTAAAGTACGCTTGTAACCATAGAAGGTATGACTAATTCGATGCCAACTTCTTTTTTATTTCCTTGTGAAATTATAAGTCGCCTACAGTAATTGCACAGATATCGTAATCTTCTCAAGTAAAAGGGCAAATATAGAAAGGCTGAAAAATTAAAAACTAAACAGTCCTAGATCAAGAAGTCTTTCCTATCTGAGGATACATGTATGTGGAGGAGAAGGTCACAGCTGTAGTGTCTTTCCTCTAAGATTTCAGATACAAACAAAAACGGATCCTGACAGAGTTTCACCAAATTTGCGCAATCCAAGCTCTCATTAGCATGATATAAGCAAAAGCAAAAGCAAACACCACACTTGCAGCCCCATGCATGAGCATGCAAGAGTCTTCAAGGACACGGGAATTTATCTGCATCATGTATGTGATAATCATTTCCGAAGCATGTAGTGCTTGCCCCTGGAGTTTCGTCACGGACCATTAAACTGTCTGAGGCTTGTGATGAGAGGAACTAATGTGATTTGTTATTATTCAAGGTCACCCAATGATCTATTGGGTGACCTTTGATCCTTGAGCTAACAATGTATTCACCCTGCTTCTTTTCCATTTAGCGTTGGCTCCAGATTGAACTTGCGCCTTTGGTCACCAAAGATGTGTTGGTGACACTTAAATGCACTCACTTCAATGCTGCACTGACAATTGTAC